GAAATTTCCAAAAATCGTTATGGAGTTATTAAAAAGTCAAGATATTCGTTACACAATTCAATGTCAGTTTTTTTATATATAGTTCTAAATGATATTAATTTTTTAAAAATTATGTTGTTTAAATTGACTATATACTACTTGTGTGATTGATTCAATCATTAACACCAAAAGAGCAAAATTAATTATTTCGCAATAAAAGCTATTTGTTTGTTTATTTATTGTTATTTTTCGATTTTAATATCAATACATGGTTTCTATTCGTAATACAAATTTTGTTTTATTCGAATTACTTTTTACTTGAATTATTTGTTTTGTTCGTTTTGTTCGTTTTGTTCGAATTATTCGAATAGAAATCCTAACTACTGCTAAAGATTATGATATTATTTTAGTACAAAAGAGCTTTAGAAATATTTTAACCAACAACTTAATTACAATATAAAAGAGCTATTGGTTTATTAAATTAAGTCAATAATTAACTAAAAAACAGGATTAATTTTAGAAGAATGAATATCTGGTAAATATTGGTGCTTTCAATACTTACTATAGGCTTTTAGACTATATGATAAAAATACTAGAATATTATTAATTTATCAGTATGCCAATACCTTGATTATCTTTTTAAAGAATATTGGTCAGATATCTGATTGATACCTTGTCATCATTCGACCAGTAAAAAGAGAACCAATAGATTATATATAAGCAAAGAAAGATTGGACCCTAAACTAACACAAAAGAATTTTAAACCATAACAGCTTGATAGCTTGATTGACATAGTAGTGCAGTCTTGCTATTTTTTTATTGTATATCTTTAATAAAACAAAACAAAACAAACATGACTTAGCTATTTAATCATTTCCTTGTATGTGAATGCCTCCATCCAACAAATATTCACAATGGTCATGATTATTATTCGATACATTTGATATCATCATTGACATAACAAACAACTGCATCACCCAGGTGGTAATAACACCAAGGCCATGGATAAATGAAACATTTAATAATGCGTCTACCCAGATCTCTGGGGTCCAGAATAATAAATCTGATGCTGAATCACAGTTGTCAGATTTAATTAAAATTTTCCTGTCACAAACATGCAAGACGGTGCAACTAAGCACAATTCAGCACCATGGATTTTCTTCTCCGCAGATGAAACAGACTTAAACATATTGGAAGGCTTTGGACAAAACATTCCCTTATCTTTCCCTCAGACTAGGCTTGGTTGTTACCATATGAGCATTGATCATTGATAGCTGGTGCTTGTGTGATGCTTGCTTTGTGTTATACCACTCTCACTAAAATAAAGTCAGTGTCTGTAACTGATTCAAAATTCTCCAACTCGGGAGATTGCAACCTGGGTTGCTGTTTTGGATTTTCCCTGGATTCAGAGTTCTGAGTCCTGGGTTGCTGTCCTGTTTGTGGCATGTCTGTTCACCAACAACCCTACCCCATTTTAAATAACAAGTTCAGTTGGTCAAATAAAGATTAAAGAGAAACAGAAATATGGAAACGATCAATTTATACATAACATACCAAACAAAATCTGAACCATTTTATTTTACAGCTTTCTTTTTGATGCCAGCGATCATGGTGACTCTCACAATAGGAGTAGACAGAATCGAACTGCCACCTTTATACTTGAATACACACTCTCATTGAGTTACACTCCTTTAACCTAGGGTAGGAGGTTATATGGGCAAAAGCCTCATTTAAAAAACAACAAATTCAGTTGGTCAAATAAAAGTTAAACAGAAAATTTGGGAATGATTAATTTATAACATACCATCTAAACCATTTTATTTTACAGCTTCCTCCTAACATCAGAGCCTAAATGCAATTTCAGAGTCACCAACTCTGCTCCGGATTGTGACTCCTGTGCTTGAAACGAGTTGCAGATTCTCATAATATTCCTCCAGAGTTGCAACATCTTGGTCACAGAGCCATCCTTACCCTAGAGATAGGATTGTTGCAGGCGACTTTTCAGCTAGCGTGCCAGCGGCCTTTTCTAGTCTGGGTGCTGTGAGGGAAGATCAGTGAAAAACATCCTTGACGATTGATGCAGTCACGGTAAATTCAGAGCTTTGCGTCCCCCCCCCCAGATTTCAATATTATCATATCATCGGGAGAAAACGTGGTCAGATTAGCTTTTTGTACACGAGGAATACATGAGAATAACTGTAAAGTGTTTAAGGTAGCATGAATGCTTCAATGTCTCTAAAAATTTCTGATAATCAAACATCACATATCGAAATGTCTCTTTTTCAACGGTGTGCTGACTTGATATCTTGTAATTATAATATTATAATTATATATTAATAATGATTACGAAAAGAAGAATATCAATCGTTTGTTGTCATGGTTTTTCAAGTATTACCAGAACTTCACTTATTAAATACTTTTTGAGGTTTGATTTTCCTAAGAGTAACTCAATGTATTTACCTGGCTTAGTTGTCATCACTGTAAAGTCTGGTTTAGATCCTAGTAAACATGGTTCAAATTTTCTATTGGTAGTAGCTGAAGTTTTTGACATAAGGCTGGCCCTGCAATAAATAACCCAAAATCAAAAAAGACAAAATATTTATAAACATTATAATTATACAAATCATAGAATATATACCACTCTATTTTAATTTTTCCATTTTCATGAAAAAATAAATCAATCGCTGGAGAAATACACCTGTGAACATGTGTATCCTCTATTTTATTATTTCTTGTAAAGGTTGACTGTTGATTGTTAATTCTATACAATGAGTGCTAACAACGACTAGTAAACATTATTGCTTTAGTGAAGTATCGTCCAAAGGTTAATCGGGAATACTGGTAGTGTTATCGTAACCAAAACGTAAGGCTGTTTAAACAAGCTGCTTAAGTTGTCTTATAAATAAACCAAAGCGAGATGGCAATTAGTACAATAAAAATAACCAAGTGTAAACAACTGAGATAATCAGTCATATGTAAATAAAAAGGGGACTTTATAGAGGCCTTGAGCTTTGTAAAAGGCCATATTTATTTATTTATTTATTTATTTACAATACCCTGTATCATTGAATGTAGCGTGCTTACAGATTCTTCGAGGCTTTCTAGGTACAAGAAAGAGACAATAAACGAGAACCAAAGTAAATTGGTATACTAGTTAACGACAAACACCAAAATTGCTTGCAATTAATCAACAAGAATAACCCAAAAGTTAAGCCATAGTTGTCAAATACTTGTTAAATAATCGGCATTAACAGAAAAAGACTGCAATAGGCAAAGTAAAGATCCACGCTCACATTCTCACTAGAATTTTATCAAGTCGAAATATTAATTAATTATTAAATTATTATCATTATTATTAAATACGAATTTGCCTAAAAGAAACAACATTTTACAGAATTTCTGAAGATATTGATATTTATTTGGTCTAAAAGTGTTTAACATTGCCCTTTGCTAGTTTAATATTATAATGTCATCAATAATTTTCCTGAAAACTTCTTGAACTTTTATATTATCAGATTTTTCATTTTATTACTATTTTTTAGAGAAGAAATCATCACTGAATTTGTTAGATAGTAATAGTCAATCCGAACGCCATTAACCCTTTTTTAAAACACAAAGCAAAATGATATTCGGCTTTGAAGTAAGTATAACCGTAGACTCCATTAAATCGAAGAAAAGCGACTACACAAACGCCTTCGGTTTAACGGGGTTGACCATATATACCTATAATAAGGTACAGGTTGGGTCACGTGTTCTACCAATAAATGTAAAGGTCTTTACTCCCATCAGGGCCTTTTACCAAAAAGTCAAAAGTTTTGTGATACATCATTAGTTTCAAAAAATTTCATAGAATACAAAGCATGGGTTTAATGAAAAAATTGAAACTGGCTTCATTATTAACCATACACTTGATATAAATCCCCCTATAATTGGTTATTATAATCAAAATAATAAGTCCAAATTCACAATTATGGCACGAGTATGTCTATATGGGAGTGGTTAATCACATATTGTTTGAGTTAAAAAGATAAATTTATTTGCAAATAAACATAATGAGTAATAAAATATAAAAATTTTTTTTTTAATCAAAATTAATTACTGAATGAACACTATTGGAAAAAAAATAAATTAGTGTATCGTTTTACCAAAAGAATCATAATATAATATTTCTTTTGTATTAATTACCTATCACCCTCGTGCATAGCTTCAAATGATTCATTAATTTCTTCAAGTTTGAATTTATGAGTTATAAAAAGATCGACTTCCAATTTCTTATCAAGGTAATCTTCAACCAAACCTGGCAATTCACTACGTCCTTTAACACCTCCAAAAGCAGAACCTTTCCAAACACGTCCCGTAACAAGTTGAAATGGTCGTGTAGATATTTCTTCTCCTGCTCCTGCCACACCTATAATTATAGACTGCCCCCATCCTTTATGACATGACTTTATGAAGAAAAGTAAATTAATCAATTAATAAAGCACGCGTACACGTATCCACGTGTCCATATATTATTTAATATTAATTATTCTTACTTCGAAAGCTGCACGCATAACCTTTGTGTTACCTGTACACTCAAACGTATAATCTAAACCTCCATCAGTAATTTCAACCAACACCTTTTTATTTTATTCATATAAATTTTATTCTAAGAAATAATGTTTTGTTTATAGAATCATAGAATCAGAACAAGAATAAAATAAAATAAAATACTTGTTGAATTGGTTTATCATAATCGTTGGGGTTAATAAAATCGGTCGCACCCAATTTTTTGGCTACAGGTATATAAATATACATGTAAATGGATTGTTAATTACTTTTTTAAAAAAAAAAATAAATGAAAAATTTTTTGTTATATTTTACCAAATTCAAATTTCTTTGGATTAATGTCAATTGCAATAATTTTACTATTTACTCAAAAAAAAAAAAACTTTTTTTTAATAAACAATATATATATATATATATATATAAGCAAATTAACAAATGTATGAATGAATACCTTGCATTACGCGATTTTGCACCTTGAATAACACTTAATCCTACACCACCACAACCAAACACTGCAACTGTTGATCCAGGTTGAACATCGGCTGTTTTAATTGCTGCTCCGTAACCTATGCATATATGTTCGTATATAAATATACAATAATTTAAATTGCTACTATGACTGATAAAAATTTGGTTTTTTTGATCGACTGATTACTATAATTGATTGACTGGTCACCTGTTGTGATTCCACAGCCAAGCAAACATACTTTATCCAATGGTGCTTTAGGATTGATTTTGGCAACTGACATTTCTACAATGACTATATAAAACAATTTTTAAAAAATATTTTGAGATTTTTTTTAATTAAATGTGTGCAAACCAAACAAACATTCAACCAACCAGTATATTGACTAAATGTTGAACATCCCATATAATGAAAAACCTTTTGGCCTTTACAAGTGAATCTTGTTGTTTCATCTGGCATCAAACCACGTCCCTTAGTCATAAAAAAAAATGATACATTTATAAATTAACATAGCAATAACACGATATTGTTAATATTATCGGTTTAAAACAGTACCTGAGTACTCCTAACCGATGAACACAAGTTAGTTTTGCCACTTTTACAAAATTTACATTCACGACACTCGGGAATGTATAATGGTATTACATGATCACCCGGCTGGACGGAAGTGACTCCTTCGCCTACCGATTCCACAATGCCACCACCTTCATGGCCAAAAATTACAGGCCAATTTTTGCCTTCAGGATCTAAAACAAAATTATATACATAAAATCAATCAATCAGTCAATCAATCAATTTATTTGACCATTTAAAAGGCAAACTAGTAAGTAACACAAAAAAATACCACTATAATATATACACACCTTTTCCCGACAGTGTATAAGCATCAGTATGACAACTTTTTGCATAATTTAATCAGGATCATTATTATCATTACTTTAGATAAAAAAAAATATTAATGATCACATTTTGTAATTTATATTTCAACTTACACTCCACTTGCAAGTATTTTTACTCGAACTTCTCCTCTCTATAAATAATAATCATTAATTTTGAAAAGAATGAAAGAATGATCAATTGGTTGGATTAATTAATTAAATATTTGCTTGATTAGTTATTAGACATCATCTTTATCACCTTTGGAGGTGCAACTTCGACTTCTTCAATAGCTAATTAATAATATTTTTAATAATACAATTATTAAAATCAAACATACAACTAATAATAAATCAGTCAATATTTGACTTACTTAAAAGTTGTCCAGGCCCCCATGCAACTGCTGCTTTACAATTAATAACCTATACAATCGTATGCATATATACATATATAAATACATTATATACATTAATTGTAGGAATAGTTCAACTAATTATTAAATAAAATTACTTTTCCACTTGTTGACATTTTTTTTTTTTTTTTTTTTTTTTTTTTTTACCAAAGAAAAGTAGTCTAATTTTGATTGATGCGTGAGAAAATTTTTTATATGGGATGTGCAACAAAGTGACCATAAAAATTATTTTATCAAATCCATCTTTATAAAATCAATACCAAACAACTCCAAACCTCACGTTCGTTCTTCCGTTACTACTAAGCTGTTATTATTTTTGTTTTTTCTTTTTTTTTTTTTAGTAGCTTTATTTCGCGTCAATTCTAAATTAGGATTTGGGAAAATCAAACCTAAATTTGGGACGTTGTTGATGTATTAACGCGTGTTTTGCTAGTACCAGTATCAGTTTACCTAAATAATATTAATATCGTCTGAGAAAATATCGATTCAATACAATTTTATTGTTTTTAAAAATATTAAAGTAATATTTATGATTTCTAAATTGATATTTATAAAAAAAAATATATATAAGATAAAATTTTTCCTCATTAATATTAATTAGAAAAAGAAAAAAAATAACAACTATAATAAAAAATAAAATGAATTGGCATTCTTTTTTATACAATGTTAACACCACCGTTAGTACTACCATTAATACCGTTGCTATGATTATTGCTATTATTATTAATACTATTGATATTATTATTGCTATTATTACGTGATTTCATGACTTCAAAACGCTGTATCACATAATTTTTACATTTATTTGAATTGGGAAGATCTTGTATCATCTTTCTAATGGTAGCTTGTGAAAAACCAAAATAATCAGGACCTGATGCGGAATTTGAATGATCACGATTTCTAATGGCATTTGCTTCACGAACAACTGAAGTCCATGCACCCGTTGCTGTGTTAGCAGGGATTGGTTTATTTGGTTGATCTTCGGCTTCAATGACAAACTAATATCGTCATCGTATGTAAGAATAAGAATAAAGTTAATTATTATTATAAAGTAAATATTGCATAAATATAATTTACATACTCTAGGTCCATCAATACCATCTTCAATCCTACAAGTGTACATAGTTTGACTATCTGGATTAATCATACTATTGTAAGCTCTGTAAATCACACAATTATATAATTAGCAAATTGGTAATAAGTCTATATGCGCATAAATGTAAAAATGTGTATATTCTTACCTTCTGACGGCATAACCAACAGGCCAAATATATCTTTCATTATGAAATGTATCACGGTCATAAACGACATGTCCAAGACTTAGGACAGTTAAAATCCCAATTTGAACAGGTAATATGTAATTTCCCTTTTCATCTTTCTCAACATATTGAACTTTCATAGTCTTGATATTCAATGGTTTCTTGCTTGCGCGCTTCTTGGCAACTTTACCCGACGTGTGAGTGGTGATAGGTTCCGAATTAACAATATTATTTGCAGGTGCAGGCAATGACGCTGATTTTTTATTAGTGAGACGTCCGCGAGCTTTTTTAATTGGACGTGTTACTATTGATGATGCACGAGATTGTTGTCCTGATGATACTACATTAATTAAATAATAAAGTTTTATTGTTATACATGTAAATAGATATTTAATAATAAACATTTAGTGAAAGTCAATCAATATGTTTACCATCAGAATCGGATGAGATATCAGAAGAAATATTAACAGATTGTTCAGAATCTGATGAGTCAGTATCTTCATATTGACTAATGCGATCCAGAAGTAATCTAATAAATGATAACAATAATAATGATTATTATATTTATTATTATAAATGTTTCATTTAAATAGATGAAGTCATTATCATCATCATCATCATCGTCATCAACACACGTACTCTTTTTCCCTTTTAAGCGATTTAATTCTTTTCCTGGATCTGTCCAACTCCTTTGCAATTTTATCATATTCCTATATGAAATTATATAAATGATGATGATGATGATGTTATTGTTGTAATAAAATAATAGTAAATCAATAACAAATTGAACTATGTAAAAAAATTTATTCAAGTCCACCACATTTGTTATATAATTATTACTGCTATTAAATATTTTAAAAATGATAACAAGGTTCATAAAATAAACATCTATTTTATTTATTTTCTTTCTTTCTTTGTATTGTCCAAGGTTGTTACCGTATTGTGAATATTATAAAAAGTAAAAAATGAAAGTTGATTGAACTTACAGTTTGAATTTCTCGCACTCTTCTTTTTAACTTTTGATATCTCTCTTGAGTTACAGCACTGTTTTCCTGAGAAGAAGTATGTTTACCTTTACTTGAATGATTCTGTGCCATTATATTTTGTATAATAAACAAGTAGATTTTCTTTAAAACTTTTTTTCGTGTATATAATTTATTTGACAATGATTTGGTGTGTGAGAGAGAATAACTTTGTGAAGAAAAAAAGATGTATTTATTTTTATTTTTAGTTTATAAATTTATTTTTGTTTGGATATCAATTTATTTTATTTAAATAAGTTTATGTGCACCCAACAATCTTCGGGTGTGTAAGGAAATATAATAATAAATAGACGAGAGTTAATAATCTGTGGGAAGAAAAAAAAATTTTTTTTAGGGTATAGTCTGAAATATAATAAAAAATAATTAAAAAAAAACAAAAATATTTCTTTTAAATTTTTTTAAAAAATTTTAAAAATTTTTTTTTTTTAATTTGCTAAACATATATAATAAATTCATTTTGAATGTTATTGGGGGTTTAGTTTGGAACATTATTTTTTTTTAGAAGGAAGTTTCGGAAGGCTTGTGTGTGTTTGTTGTTTGTGTGTGCGCTCTTTTTTTTTTATTTCCAAGGACAAAAGCCTACTACTATAAATTTCTTTCAAAAGAGAAAAAATGATTTCATGTCTTTTACAATTAGGGGTGATGATTGGTTAATAATCAATGGCAAGTATCACAACATGTAACCACCTTCCATAATTGTAATAAATCAACAGGGTTTTTATTTATTGTGCAACATTATTATTTATTTATTATTATTATTTACAATTTTGATTGTTTTATTAAGGCTCTCTTTTTCTAGTTAAAAATAAAAATGTTCCTTCTCTGACCGGAAAAATAACAAATGTAGGTAAATGATTGTTATCAGATAAGGACAAAAAATAAAATTTTTTAAAAAAGGGTAATAAATTATTTATTGTATCGAGCAAAGAAGAAATGAAATTCTTACTTTGAGGAATTTATGAAAAACAAAGTTTACTGAAATTGGATAATTTGCAGTATTCGGAAGGTCACGTATCTAATAGAAATATTACTGTAATAATAAATAATAGACATCGAATTAACTTCTTGAAAATGTTACCAAAACAATTTCTAATTTTGTTAATTTTATCACACACGAACTTTTTAATTTCTAAAAGGTTTTTAATTAACCCAGGTTCAAATAAGCTGATTGTGTAAGTGAAATAACTGTCCTTTATCTCTCCTTTTTTAGAAGTTTTTCCTTCACATGGCTTCTTCCAAGAGAAATCTTATCTTTCTGTTGAAAGTAGAGTTGTCGACTTTTTAATAAGCAAATAGATAATTTATTCCCTGACTAAAAATGCAAGGAAGATTTCCTATTGTTGAAATTGAACCAGTATCGAGAATTTCCAAATTTGTCAAGAGATTAGTAACGAAGTGGAGAAAGAAGTAACGTTTTTATCTTCCTTTTATATCCCCCGGGATTTTATTTGTTTATCAGATCGAAAGTGTTTCCAGACCTAAAACAGCATGAATTTACGCGAGTACTACATTTTTATTTATTCAAAAAAAAATCATAAAACGTGTATTAATTAACTGATAATTATTTCACAGAACATGTGCATCCTTTGAAAATGATCTATTTAGAGGATTTGTCTTTAGCATATACACAGTTTTATTATTAATTATTATAATTTTTAATTTTTATTATTATCAATATTAACAATTTAGAGAAACACTATATTCGTCTACTATTCCGCCAACCAATCCCAGTTGGGGCCGGCTGCTTTGTTGAATATCTTTTCACTCACTTTCACTAACTTTATATTTTTGAAACGTCGCCAGAATCAACAACCTTGATAGCATTACGATTATCATTCTCCGATAACTTGTCGTCAAAAATATCACTTTATTTTCTCATTTCATTTCACCAAACTACTTTTTTATTCGTATCTTTAGTGTCTCTTCCCAGTCTCACTTCTACTTTTTGGGATGTCTATGCTTTAGAAGCGTATTTTCTGTATTGAAAAGAAAAGTCATCAATATTGGCCAATCCAGAACCTTCTGAAGTTAAGGATGTCTAATTTATTCATTATTATTGTTCAATTCATCTAAAACGCATCATCCAAAATTTCAGCGGCCAAATTATCTTATTCTTCTTGTTCCCCACTATTATCAGATCGTGTCCTTGCAAAGGTCGATTCCGGTAGAATAATATAACGTAGTCCTGAAATCAAAGCTCAACTCAACAATAATAAGGACATCCTTGCCAATTAACAATGGTTTTATCTTAACGATCAAGGGAAGTTATTGTTCAGAAGAAAGTTTATAAAGGTTGTATTGCCAACTTTAGGGCAATCAATGTGTTTAATACTTCTTAATGTTTCACTAAAATTGTAAAGATGAAGTATTTTGATGACTAATATTTATAGATCTATGACTTTTCATAAAGCTTCAGCCAGACATTTCTGGCTCTTATAGCAAAATTTCCCTCCACTGGTCAAAAGGTTTGATTTTGACAAAAGATAATGCTTATTCCAATATTTGGAAAACATTGGTTAAAAGGGCCAATTTTACCAACTAGATCACTGGAAAATATTATCAAAACCACCAGTGCTCATAGCTTGCACTAATTAATAATCAAACCACCAATTATAAAGATGAATAAATAAAAAAAAGAAATTTTGAATTGCATAATATTAATAATAATAAATAATATTAGTATTAGTAATTAATAATAATAATAATAATAATAATAATAAACGAATAATTCCGACAATTCTTGTGTAAATCTTTTTAGAGACAAGATTTAATTAGGAAAATTCAAAAGATGTTCCTATCATTATAAATAAAAATGGCAAACAAAAGATGAATTAGACGTCCAAATAATTAATTGTATAAATATTTACAAACTCCTGCTTGCTTAACTTGTAACAGATATGTGAATTATCCCAATCCGATTATGAATTAACCAATATCGAATAATTTCTTTCTCACGCTAATAATTAATTACACATTTTTGGTATTTTAGCAAACGAATATAAAAAATTGATTGTTGCTACCAAAAAATTATAATAATAACGATATTTTTGCTCAAGTAAAAAAAGAATGTATTGTCACCAATTGAATGGATAATCACATTATTCCAATTCGAAACTTCCTGAGTCTAAAGGTTCGTTTATTCTGATTACAGAGTGAGCAATATCCGAAAGCCCTATTTGCCGCCGTGTCCTTTAGCAAAAAGAAATAAAAGAAATCCGATATTAAATGACATTAAATGATTCAAAACACATGAGATTAAATTTAAAATTTTCTTACTAGACAGGAAGTCTGTGTATTGGTGTGTAATTCTCAGCCTTTTCGAATATGAATATCTCTTCCACCATTACCAGTGATGTGTGGTTTATGACGTTGCCTTTGGTCTGCTCTGCAATATTATTTTGTCTTCCATTTGCAGTGTTAAAACTCAATCGCTTAATTGTATGATTAGGGCATGATCATCAGTTTCATCATTTTAAGAGTCTCGAGAACCAGATTAGCAATGTCTTCATTTTGTAAAATTGGTGGTGATTAACCTTCGAACGTTATATATACACATATATGAAAATATCAGTCATGATAAAATGATTGATTCACTCGGCTCATTATTGAGTGCCAGAATATCAAAATAAATTTATAATTACATTTTGCTAAAAACAATCTTTTTAAACAAAAAAAAGAAAAAAATAGGCTATATATATATATACACCAATTTTATTTACTTTCTTCTTGTGCTAATATACTCTTACCCTGAATTCCACAAAATCGTTATTCACTTATCTTCGCTCAAAATATAATATTCTAACAAGGGTTGAATCCGATATTCTCGATCTATAAAATTGATAATCACACAATCACCAAACTACATATATAATTATCTAAAATATTATACTTTGCAGGACGGGTGATTATTAGTCAAACCGTTGTTAATTTCGTCGCATTTGACGAAATTGACGAAATTGAAGTTGACCCATCAAACCGACCAAATTTTCATAACCAATGATCAAAGGTATGGCCAAATGTTGATTTTATATACATCAGTATAATGATGTCGTCAAACAATGATTTAGATCCGGAACCCTTTGTCTTCTCATCATGATAAAAAAGAATTGAGAATAATCACCATGGTAAACACCCAACGTTACTCTACATGTTGAATTGAAGACCGAAAAAAGAAAGATTCAGTGATTTGGAGAAGAAACTAACTCTCTGCCTTATTTATTTTTCTGCATAACATATTTTTAATTAGGAGAACATTTAGTTCCAAGTAAACTCAAATAAACAACTTTCTGTTTAATTAAAAATTAAATCCTCTATTTATAAATGGTTTGGATCCTTGATAAAATAAACCAACTTTTTGAAATGATTCAGATAGTACTCAAAGTCAAAGTTTTCAACTTTCAACATTTCAGTTTTCAAGCTAACACTTCTGTAAGAAAATAATAAAAAAGGAATAGTAGAGCGCTTGTTGGGCGTCAAATTTAAGTTAAATAAATTTATTTAAGTAACAATCATACCTGGAACTTAATCATAAAATTAACAGTAGAGAATAATAATAAAGATAATAAAAAAATAGACAAACAAATATGTAAATTTATATGTATACTCTAGCGTGACAGCAAATAATTATATGATCTATAGTTAACATATAATAAATTTCGGGCCAATAGTTTTGATGCATGTAACCTTCCATATTTATCGAATTTTTCAATCAAAAGGGTTAATACGTTTATCATTTGCCTCATATATCAAAATTTGTGTAATTTTTTATGTTAATAAAGTATTAACAA